TTACCTCACAAGTAAAAATGCTACAAGTTAGGCTAGTAATTTACGGGTCAGAAACGTGAGATGTGTGTATGTAACTGAATGACGTATTTTAAAACGGTTGGACCGATTTTGATGATATTTTGAGGCAATCTTCAGATTGGACCAGCGGGTGATCTTAAGAATTTGGAGGTGGCGGTCTTAACAACGGATTTCTTTTTGGATAATTAATTCTATCCGTGCCAAATTGGTGCGGGTCGCTGGTGCAATATAAAACTTGCAAAAGTCTTTGTACCATCAATGACAACCTATTCGTCCAAGTGTGAATCAAATTATTGCATTAGCATTACTTGAGAATGTTTTACTAGGTCATAGGTCATGTTTAACTGTGGTAGGGCCACGCAATAGTTTCCACTGTTGCACGAATAGAAGATTTTACACTTCTGTGTTTCGTCTGACGAGTGATGTACCCGGGGCCCACTTTTATATAAAGGTGGCAACGTATTTACATCCCTACCACATATTTGGATGTTGCAAATGTCCATGGGCGGCGGTTTTTACTCCACATAAATTGAACCGCCAGCTCGTTTGCCACTTATTCTTATAAAAAAAAAACTAGCCAAGTCACGTTTTATTCTACTGTTACTTAGAGGTATAAGAGTTCTAACGATTTTACGTTGATCCTAATATTTTAACTATTACTGAAAATGAATATTAACAAATATTATAACGACAAGCAGCACTAGTGGTTATATAACCGTCTGGGAACGCGGCCGAAATCCAAGTGACCACCGCTCCATGCGACCATGTGTCCCTTGGCTCGAGTAGATAAGGTCATATCCGGTATACAGTGTTACCAGCGCCAACAGAGGGATAGTTAATCTCTGCGTTCAATAGTACACATGAATTACGCAGCCAATTCCACTCACGCTCTAAGTGATAGTCGGCCGTTTGAGCAGTTGGGGGGCTGATGAAAGCTGACACTCAGGCGCCGTGCCGCAGCCAGCCTCGGGCCGGGGGTCACCGTGGCCCTGGGCGTGCCGGTTCACGTTTCAAAGTGACCGCAGCACATGTCCCGCTCCCCGACTTTGCGTGGAGCCGGCAAGGTCGCAAATCGTCAGTCGATTAGTCACGCGAACCCGACATTCCCGATTTTTTTTTGGATTAATATTTGTGGAGAAAAAGGAACGAAAAGTCTCTCGCATCTGTGAGAATCGAACCCACGTCTTCGGGAGGCGCACCCTGACGCTGTGGTCACTAAGCTAAACGGCTGATTGCCACGCCAAAGAAATTCTGCACGTCCTTTATATACTTTGTTTTTAGAATTTTAAGCAATGCTTGGCGCATCCATTGTTACCTACAGCATACAAACAATATCGAATATCCTTTTATAAAGCTAATCCGAACGAGAGATGTCGCCATTGCTTTTTAGAAATTTTAATTTTTATAGTGCTAATCTCACTTAAGATTAAACATTAAAATTTGTAGAAAAAGTTTTTTTTATAAAAAAATACTAAATTCGCCATGGAATATTAATGTTACCAACGCAAAAAAGCGTACATTTTTGTCACAAGTACATTTTGTTCAACAAAAACCGGTCAAGTGCGAGTCGAACTCATACGCCCACGGTTCCTTACCTACCTGTTATACCGCCATAATAAAATTGCTATAATATCGACACTTTCTTTAAATAATTTCGTGAAAGTTAACGGGAACTATCAGCCGTGATAGCTCAGTGTCCGGGCGGTGACGGCACCAATGAAGTTTTTAACTTTAAGTGCTGACTTATCACGTGCTCCGCGGTGAAGGAAAACATCGTGAGGAAACCTGCATATTTTCGAAATAATAACAAAAAAAATATATTTAAAATCTTCTTATCTTTTGAAAATTGGGCTCCGGCTACCTCAATCACCAGACGAACGAGAAGTGTAACACTTCTACTTCACGCCAGTCTTCTATGAGGTCGTGGCACTAGCCCGGACGGACCTGCGCATTCGGCTATGTAATAATATTTGTGGTCCAACGGCTGGGCAAAGGCCTCCTCTGTACAAAAGGCATAGTCTGGCGGCCCCGTACAGATTGGGGGACTTCACATAACTTCGAAATATTTTTTCTTTGTTCGAATACACATATTTCGAAAATATGTAGGTTTCCTCACGATGATTTTCTTCGCCGCTGAGATCGTGATAAGGCAGTTACTTAAAATTACCAATTTCATTGGTGCCGGCACCGAATCGATCTCGGGTTGCTCAAGTATATTGAATTAAAGGCGAGCGCCCGGACACTGAGCTATCACGGCTCATGAAGATTAATTACTTGTTCAATATTAAGCTTAACACAAAATCCATTCTGTCTTTATTTGGGCCATTATTTTGTAAAATTATTTTAATTGACAGAGAACGTAGATGCGTGATAATATCTAGGTAATTCACCTCACTGACGAACCGGCTATCCAGCATCAGAAAATTAGTTAATTATGCGGTAAATACAACATGAAAAATTTCAGGGGCGGTAAAGCAAAATTTTAGAACTAAATGTTTTTTTAACTTTATGTTATAATTCCTAAACTTATGCATATCGTAATAAATCGTGATTAAAAAACGTTCTCTTGAGGTTTAATATTTGGTGATGTATGTAATAGAATAGTTACCTAGGTAAAAAGTACCTACTGTCTTTATTGTGACTAGTAATTGGCGAAGCGACATCTAACGGCGAGTGGTTATAGAACATAATTTATTCTTATCAAATGTTTCAACTATAATTCGACAGAGGGCACTATACTCACTTAATAATAAAATATCTCATTTAATCAAATAAAAATTAATTGCTTAAGTGTAGTTCATAATACAATTCTAATGTATTAAGTTGTTACAATTTTTATTCCGGTGATAATGACAACTAACTTATCATATCTTATCAGATAAGGGATTAACAAAACCTTTTTGCACACGTCTACACTGAAACTAAGGTCTTAGTGCCGTGTGAATTTACTTAAGGAGAAGATTAATTTTTGAGTTAAACATGCCAATGCCTAATAGGTAATTCTACCTGTGTAAGTGTAAGTTATCGAAGCATATACATATATTAACAGCTCGTAGTAATGGATTTTTACCTGGTACGGTAACACTAAAAGCATCTTATTAAAGACAGTGTTGCTGTGTAGATCTTACATAATAAACGATTAAATAGTCACAGTAATTGTTGAATAGTAACAAAAGCTTTTAATTGTATGTGGAAATTATGATGAACGCGTAATGAAAAATGTTTGCAAAATAAGAAGACATAATAACTACCTTCTATTGCCTCTGTCACTAAGAATAGGCCTGAGAGCGATTCTCCTTAATAATTTCATTTTGCACGCGGTCCTAATTTTTATCATAATTTGCAACATCGATTAAAATATCGATAACAACAATAATTGTTGACGTCGTGCGCAATCATCCCGTTGCTAACTAGCTTATGGGCTTATAGAAAGGAATGCAAGACTTTATCTGATTCCGTGACAATGAAGAAAGTTAAAAAAATTACCGAAATTTTATTTTTGTTTAAAATTTACAGTAATATCGTGTAACTTTTTCCAACATAATTAATGTTGGGAATATTCCCTTAACTAACAGGCAAAGATTCTATGGTGTAGTGATTAGGTGAAATTGAAGATCACTTAATGTTTACCAATATCTTATAATAAACCAAGAACCATCTCAAATTATTTGCCTTTAAAGTGTAACCTTAAGGTTTAGGTTTGTTATACAACAAAAAGTTGCAAGGCATGTTCTGTATATTATAATACATGTTATTACTATTACACAAATACATTTTACAAACAAAAACTCCGCTATATCATTTTTATTTGAACCATAGTTATTTAACAATCTTAGTTCAATGTTCGGTCACTAGATGTCACTGGAATAAATTAATTAGTGATGTCATAATTCTAAATATTTGATCATCATAAATACAGTTAGACGAATGAGTTAATTTAACTTGATAACAACTATCCTATTGATCTGAGATTGTATTTACTATCCTAGTATCGGGCAATCATGATGTATTTCGAAAGCCTTTTGCCCACGGCACCAATGAGTGCTTACATTGGTACAAATTGATTAGAGCCGTGTGCACATCACTTAAGAAGACGTGCTCAATTACAATTTATTTATTTCCTTAGTAATTACTGTCTTTCCAAAAAATACGGACTAGTATAAGTAATGTTGTTGATATTTCATATTTTTTAGACTAGCTAACGCTCGCGATTTTGTCTCCGTTGCTTACGAGTATTATAATTAACAATTACAACGCTTGCCCGTTCCACTGCAAGAAAACCCACCACGTAGTGCTCATAAAAGACGATAATTCTTAAAACTTTAATAACTGTAATAATTCAATAAAGACATTACAAATAGTTATTTAGACTGGGGCAAGTGTCTAAGAATTAATTGAAATCTGACCAGTAGTATTTCCGTGACACGCGCACAAGGCGGGCCTCGTTAATTAGATTTATATAGATTACTAGCTGTTCCGGCAAACGTTGTTCTGCCATATAAATTATTTCTAGGGAATTTGTAGGGTAGAAAAAAACTGTTTAGGGTGGACCATCCTTAACATTTAGGGGAAAAAAATAGATGTTGTCCGATTCTTCACCCTGGCCGATATGCACACAAAATTTCACGAAAATCGGTAGAGCCGTTTCGGAGGAGTTCAATTACAAACACTGTGACACGAGAATTTTATACATTAGATTAAAGGAACGTGGAGGAATAAGTATAAGAAACAAACGTTTTACGGTTTCGTGAAACTACGCAAGAGGTAATCGATTAATTTATATGAAAAAAAAAACATTTTGAACATGTTTCTATCAGTAAATACCCTTGTCTTTTGTGACTATGAACGTGTTTTAATATTCTGTTTGAATTAAATTTATGTCATCCTAATATTGGAAATTTCAGAATATTTCTTACAACTGACGCCATTACATATTTTTAACATTATAGTTGTAATGGGGACAATGAATCACACTTTGGCTACTCTAGCCCCATACAAATCAATTCTTCCACTTTTGAACTAGCCAGCCGACCGGACGCCTTCTCCTTAAGGATCTCGCTGCGCACGCCACCAATTCCTTTATCGTTAGCCTTTATATCATTTATTATCATTGATAGCCCGCCGAGAGTGCTGGCGAACTTGGCCGCATCACCTTGCGTCTTTAATAAGGTCACGAGGCTGTTGTATTGTGGTGGATCTGTTCTGTGGCCACGTAGAAGCCTCGGCTGTTTCACGAATGGGCAGGCTCGTCCGGGTAAGTACCACGACCTCACAGAAGACCGGCGTAAAGTGAAAGTATAATACTTTCGCGTTTCGTCTGGTGAGTGGAGGTGGCCGGAGCCCAATCTCCAAAAAGGTTGTCAACGCATCTGCAAACCCTCGGGTGAGCAGATGCCCATGGGCGGCTGTATTCACTTAACATCAGGTGAACCGTCTGCTAGTTTGGCAATTTCTCACATACAAAAAATGGGCCTGCGAGCGCGGTTGCTATGGTATGAGCTTGAGCACCGCGGGTCATAGTTGCAATCCACGTACTGAACATTAATTTGTATGGTCTAATTAAATAATCTGGCACTGCGCATTCATGTGTCTGCAATTTGTGCCAGTAATATGACTACGCAATATATGGATGGACAAAAGAAAAGGAGGACATAGGTATATGCTATACGGAAAATAACAAGGATCATATGGTAAGATGAAGTTAGCCCATAATTAAAATGTTATTATTTTATACGAATAAATTATTTCCACCCTATGAATGAGGTTATAGTATAGTACTACAGTAGTAGATAATAGTAGTTTGATCATAGTACTAGTAGTATTCCCAGCATGATTACATGCGCGGCTCTACCCACTGAGGAGGGCGTCAAACCCGTGGGTTCTGGCTAGCCCACCAGTTCTGCGTTCGATGAAGCTTTAATAGTCCAAGGACTGAAAGCGTAATATCAGTTATACAAATACAAATACGGTAGTATTCTTACATTTCGCTTATGACGGGCTGAAATAATAAAATGAACGTCATTTGTGCCGGACCTTAGAGGTTGTTTTCTGTATATCCAGGAATTTTTTTGTACCGTCTAATTAGAAGTTTTAATCTTAGAGCGTGCAGTAGTTGTTGAACAAACCATATTTTCACTAACGAAAAACAAAACCGCCTACAAATATCTCGCTCTGTATTCATTTTATAATTCATTTTCAGGAGTTCCCTAAATATCCCCGGAGCCCAAGATCCAATACCAACGAAATTAATACGGGACCACATGGGAAGCACCAGCTTTCAAATAAAGAATCCTCATAATTGGTATACTCAGTCGAAAGTTTTGTGGTAACAAAAATAAATCCTTTTTTGAAATCTGTTGTGGGAATACTTACTAGCAGATAAACAAAGTTTTAGAGAATGACTACGTGGTGCGGTGGCTAATCTGATGCCAATAGATTTAAGACTTCAGATGTAGAGGAAAGAGTCGAGTGGAGAGGGGAAATTACGTAGGCAAGCCAGGCCGTTTGCGATAGCAACCGGCAAAAGAAGACAAACACGAACAGACGGAACAATTAACTGTAGTCTTTTTACATAAGAAGATGGAAAAAGAGCTGGCGGTTCATCTGTTGTCAAGTGACAAACACCGCCCATGGACATTTGCAGCACTATAATAATATATAACGATAACCGTTGGGGAAGAAAGGTTCTCGAGTGGCAGCCTCGTACTGGCCATCGCAGTGTAGGACGACCCGCCACTAGATGGAGTGACGAACTGTGCAAGTGTGGCTCAGGATCGTACTTCGTGGAAGTCTCCAGACGGAGCGCGGAAGTATAACACTTCCAGTTCACGCCGGTCTTCTGTGCTTGGTACTTCTGGACCTGCATCAGCGGAGACTGCCTCGTGGCCCTACTAAAGTTACAGTTATCACTTTATACAATTTGTTAGCCTGATTGGTCTCTTGGAATTGATTGAATGTAGATACTTAAAAAATACTAGCTCAGCCGTCTAGTAGCTTCTTGTTACGAGGTATACGACGATTGGTCCTGACATCTCTTCGGCGATCAAATAAAAATAAAATGCAAATGAAATAAAAAATAATAAAAATTAATAAAATAAATCTAAATAATTATGCGAACACGTTATTAAAAACGATGAATACGATTCATCGATTTTTCCAGTAATTAAATCCGAAAAACTAAACTCGTTGGCTAACACTGTCGAGGCTAGACACCGAAAATTTTTCAGGGCGACCTCAGACCATGTTCCAGTGAATGAATATGATTTTGTCTGTTTTATGTAATATATTTTTTAACATTTTTTTACTCGAAACTGGCCAGCGCTTCACTGCCATTCCTCTGATGGTAAATGGCGTTATTAATTTCTTCTAGTGGGACAGTTCACATGATTACCGCTACAACAACAAATAAACAATACCGGAATCTAGTGCCAGACTTAGATTAAGAAAACTTAGAAAATGTCATTATCATTAAAATATTTTTATAACTAGAGCAAAAGTAATCACATTCTGACATGAGTTGACATAAAATAAAATTATGAAAATGTTATGCTTTTATATTAACCAGATCAGGAACAATTATCTGTGGGAATCGAATCCACGACCACCGACGCCGTATCAGAAAAGTTTCTGCAGAGCATCGTAGAGATGTCCATGAAGGACAGGGACTTCATAGCGTTAAACGGTAGAAAAAACTGGCTGAACCACTTCAAGACTACTTAGGAGCCGTCCATTAATCACATGAGGCTCGAAAGGGCGGGAGGGGATTTGGCAAAAATCACTAAACATCACAACGCGGGTGGAGGGGTGTAGTTAGATATCACGTGTATTAATTTTTCGTCAAACGAGCAATCTCTTAACTGAAAAGTGACGTGACCTTGACTCGCCATTACATTTTTATCATGGGTTAATTTCGAATAAAAACTGGGTTATGCTTTATACCTGTATTTAAAGATTATATTCAAAAAAATTAAGATTCTTTGTAGGTACTAAAATACACGTGATTTTGGGTGAGGGTGTAGGGGGTTAAAAATGTAAAAAAGAAACATCACCTGATTAATGGCCGGCCCCTTAAGACATCTCGATCAAAGGCACATCCTCAAAAGGAAGGACCACAACGATATCCTTCGCGCGCAAATTGGGGCCTCTCCTTCGAGTAAAATTGGGAAGCAATGACGAGGACATTTATACGACAAACAAGGCCGTGCGTTTTATGGATCACATAATGCTTGTGACGAGCGCATCCAGGAGGGGTTGACGTATGGTTGACCCATGGACATCTACAACGCTTGACGGATTGCAGATTCGTTGCAAACCATTAAAGAAATGGGCCTCGATTACCTCATCATCGTCATCATCATTTCAGCCTGTCTGAGTCTACTGCTGAACATAGGCCTCCCCCATAGACTGCCATGAAGTACAATCCTGAACCACCTGCATCCATCGACTTCCCGCATATTTGCACAGGTCGTCACTCCATCTAGTGGGGGGTCGTCCCACACTGCGATGGCCAGTACGAGGCTGCTACTCGAGAACCTTTCTTCCCCGACGGTTATCGGTTCTACGAGCTATATGGCCGGCCCATCGCCACTTCAGCTTGCTAATCCTCTGCTAGTTCGTAACGAAGACATCCGCAGTAGAACCAAAGTAACCGACATACGTCGATTACCTTACTCACCAGAAAAACGCAAAAGCGTAATAATTCAACTTCACGTTGGTCCGGGCTTCCCCGCACGAGCCTGCCCATTCGTGCAACAACTAAAGCCGCTACGTAGCCATACCTCAGCATTTTTCGAACCGTTTCGAAAAAGGTCGTTTTCGACAAAGGTACTTTCAAGAGAAGAGCAAAACACGCAACATATCTGGGACTCTTCAGAAGTTGCGAATGCCTTAGGTGGTCACTGACCAGCAGGCGAGCAGCTTGCTCTATTGCCACCCACTCAAAGACAAAGGTTCAGCCACTATGTTAAGACTCATGGGGTAGATACAAACACAAACGAGAAACAGCATCTAATATTCATTAGACATTTTAATTAAATGTCTTAGTGCTTAAATGCTTCAGTCCTAAAGAGTGATAAAAGTCCACTAGACGAAGGACATTTTTAACTGACGGTATTTCTTACCGTTCCTGGCTTCGTTTTTCACGTCCTTTTTTTGGTACCTAAATAAGTTTCTTTTCCTTTCTTTCTTTCTTCTTGTCACCACCGCGGCACGGTCGTTCGTGAAAGTCACTTACCATCCTTATCAGGCCCAATTAAACGGTATTGATAACCGAATCTAAGTGTAAAAGTGACTTCGCGACGCGGGCATGAAACCGATAAGAAGTGTTGCAAAAGGCCGTAAAATGAATGTTAGTTTTATGTCACGTCTGAAGGGCCTACATGTTTAAAAATTTTCTATTTATTTATTTAAACAAATGTTAGGTAAAAACCTATGAAGAAAGGAAAGAAAAACCGTACATGTTGGTGGAAATCCCCACTAGTAACGATTTTCTTTTGTAATCAGATATTCTAGTTAGTTCTATTTGGGTCATAAGAGACTCGAATACTGCACATTTTAAATAAAACTCCTCTCCAGATCTTATGACTAGTTTTTGGGTTCTAGACGTTTCAAACAATTTTCTTGGTCAGGGACAAATTTGTTGTTTTCGTCAATTGTCATAGCTTACTCCGAGCTATCGACAGAGTTTAGCGAGGTATACGCAGAAAGCGTTTATGGCGTCTTTAATTGTAGAAGAGATTGTTTTTTTATATTTTAATTTTATGATTGATTATCGACCGGCCCCGGCTTCGCGCGGGTGCAATGTATTACACATATAAACCTTCCTCTTTAATCACTCTATCTAGTAAAAAAACTATATCAAGATCCGTTGCGTAGTTTTAAAGATCTAAGCATACATAGGGACAGATGGACAGTGGGACGACTTTGTTTTACACTATGTAGTGATTATCGGTAACACCAAACCTTGTCAAAGAAGATGTAAAATTAATTTCATTCACAATCTTTTTGCTCATATTTTCTTGTTTAGTTATGAAATCAAAATAACAATAATTTTTACTGGTTTTATAAATATTTCTCGGGATATTAGTGTCTTAAACGTTTCCACAATATAATTAACTAGCTGTCTCGCTCCCGCTTCGCTGAGCGAAAATTGAAATTTATGTTTAACTATCAACACACAAGTTTAGTAAATTTGCTTTCATGTTTTCTATAACTGTCACAATATGAATGTGACCTAGTCAAAATTTTGGGTTGCCACATCTGGCGAACGGGTTGGCAAACACAGTTCTTCCAGACGCCTCGCACCTAAACATTGCTGCCCGTTGTTGGCCTGGATATTTGGGACTGGAGAATTGAGATGGTTAGCCCGCCATCCTTAGGCTTATTACTTAGTCGCCTCTTACGCCGGCACCAACGGCACAATTCTAAAGCTCAATCAATTTATAAATAATTTATATGCATCTTATGACAATACTTCTTCGTACAATAAATTAGGGGTCATACCATCTTCTTTAAGTCAAAAAAATATAGGTTCCGGATAAGTAATCACCAACAAATCATATACTAAAACCTTCTCAGCGCCTCAATTTCCGTGCGCTATTGTCATATCTTTGTATATAATGTCATTGCATCTAATGTGTTGGTGTGTGTTAAAGATTTTACCAGCAGCACGTTAACGAAAGGTTTGTCTTGGAATATATTAAAGTTTCATTACACCCACCAATAAATCGTTGAACAACAAAAATAATTTGCAAGAATCGGACAGTTTTAGCTACAAGCGGATTGAACTGCTTTTTTTAGATAGGCAGCACAGAGTTTCGTGAATGCGGACATTAGGAAAATATGGTAACAAATGATTAACTTTTTAATACATATTATCATTTCCCGCGGGACGTCCCAGTCTATAGAGAGGTCTATGTCCAGCAGTGGATTAAAACACGCTAGGAACTAACGTGACTAGGAAATATCGTGGCAATTTGTGGAGATTACTGAGACAAATTTGTTCAGTAATCTCCACAAACCGGAGGAGTTTGAGTTGCAACTAATGCGAACAATGCAATCGAGAATTGCATGCTCCTAAATGTTTCGTAACCTTAAAACACATGTCTAATAACTTGCATGCATTGTATAATGAGTTACACACGTTATAAAACCAATTAAGAATCCTTGTTGTTCAACAAACATCGTTATATCATAAACAATCGGCAGAGGAGTTTAAACGATTTCGTAAGCACTATGGTAGTGAACCTCAGATACCGTAGTGATACTGTTTCTTGCGCCAAAAGGCTTGGGTTCGATACCAGCTGGTGGAAAAATATTGTGTAATTGTGTTTTCTCTATTGTCTATGTGTTTTATGTCTAAAATAGATATTTATTTTCAAAACTAAAGATGTTTAAGTATGATTATCACTTAATAATACGTAATACTAAAATTAGTTATTACCTATATTAATGTTGTTTCAAAATATGTCCTGAATTATTTATTTATTATTTTTACTTATTCTGCGGTTAGAAGGAAATATTTATTATGACTTGCAGTTTTATTTTAAAGAAGAGTTGGTAAACGGATAAGCGGCAGAACAGGTGATAAGACAAAAGGGAACACACAAAAGGACACAACATAAGGTGTTTGAAATATGTTTCGGGCTTTAGGGAAGAATAGATGTAACACAAACTTATTAATGCACCAAATGTCTATCTATTAAAATAGAAAGTTACGTAACAACACTGATTTTCAGTAGACAGATTATTCAATCTGTGCGAATAGTTGTAAATTAAATAGCGAATAAATCACTGGACTTTATTATAAGCAGAAAGAAATTTTGATTGAATTTGGAAAGTAATGCTTATTTTTTTAAAATCATATCGTTCTCTTTTCGTTCGCTGAAAGTGTTATCAGCCTTAGTATCGGTCCGATTTACTTTTTTTTACCAGTAACGCAATATATAATAGATAAAGTGATTAAATCAAATGTTTCGTTATACGTAAGGAGGGTAATAAATTCTTAAACGGATAATGAAACGGACTCCGTGGCGCCGTTGCCAAGGTATTGGCTTCGGTGTCGGGGGTCGTGGGTTCGATTCCCACACGGGACAGCTATTTGTGTGACCCACAGATAATTTTTCACATCTGGGTGTTTGTTCACGTGAAATTTATGTTTGTAAAACTTCCTTACAGTACCGGATAATGTTATACTAAAGTAAGGGCAATTTAAAAAATAAATTAAAGCTTAGTGTTATTCGGGTTACCTAACAAAGGTGTTATTTTTTATGTGGAAAGTTGACAGACGAGCGGCATCTGAGATTGTATCATCAAGATCATCGTCAGCCGCAAGACGTCCACTGCTGAACATAGGCCACAACGGGCGACACTTTGCTATTTGCATCCATCGGTTGACTCCTACGATGTCGTCGATCCACCTAGGGAGACCTCCAACGCCATGTCTTCCCGTTCGTGGTCACCACTCGAGAACTTTTACCGCCCATCGGTCATCAGTCGGGCCACTTCAACTTGCAAACCCGGAGAGCTATGTCGCACAACAAGAGGTTGTGTGCGTTGCCAATCATTAAAAAGTGGTTCCCGGCTACCTCACTCACCAGACGAAACTGCAAAATATAATGATTTCATATACGCCGTTCTTCTGTAAGGGTACTTCTCCGGACGAGCCTGCCCA